TTACGGCAATTGGAAGGTGTGTTTGCCCAGACTCGACTCACTGCAGCAGCAGTAGACAGCAGCAGTAGCAGTAAGTGGGGCAGTTAAATGCCACAAAACTGTGAAACTTTAAACCGTTTATCATTCGAATTTCAATTTCAATTTCAATACGATTTGATTTCATTTTTCAATGATTTAACAATTCCCGCGAATTGAAGGTCAACCGCAAATGAGGCCAAAGAAAAAAAATGAATAAAAAACATTTCGTTTCTTATAATTAATGGATAGAATGACGCCAGAGTTGGCTTGATAAAAGCGTATTTCGCTCAGAAATTAAACTGGCTAGCTAAGTTTTTTCTTTTTGACCCGCGTTGAACCGGGTTCCGGTTTGCCAGGGTTCACAGCGTAGAAACTTCAAAGCGGAACGCCAACAATTGACCATAAAAGTCCACTATGCGAGTACCGTTAATGAGTGTGCGTGTGTGTGCGAGTGTGTGTGTGTGTTGCTGTTGTCAAGCTGAGCGTGAATGAAACGAAGAGCAGCAGCAATAGTTGTTGGCCATAAAGCGATGTCCATAATGCAACGCGCTGCCAAATGCAATTGTTAAGTTGCCCGGCCCGCCTCTCTACCCGGCCACGCCCCGCACTTTATGGCCAACAGCCAGGCTTAATTAGCCATGCAACAAGCGGGCAGAGACAGAGGCAGCGGCAGCGGCAGCGGCAGCGGCAGCGGCAGGTGGCAACCCAATTTGGCATCAAATGTGGCAACAACAACAACAGCTGGTAGCTAAAGTCGGTCAAAATGTTGCAGAGCAAAAAAAAAGAATGTGGCACAAACGGTTTCTTCTTCTTCATCTTCTCTTGTTGCAGATGCAATCAAGTTGAGAATGAGATAATTATTGGTCAAGTATCTGAAGTTGAGAATATCTAGTTTGTGCGAGATTTGAATTTGAAGAGCTGCCGCTTTCCGGATTGCCTCATTATATTAAATATATTTTCAGCTTTTTATGAAATTCATGTAATCCCTTTTATTTTTATGAACTCATAAGCGCTTTTACTCAAACAACACTTAGGCATTTTCATGCACATGGCCCTTTGTGCGATTGGATTTTGAAATATGTACGGAAAGTTTTGAGTATATTCGAAGGCATCACATTAATAAGAAACAAGTAAGAGGTTTTTGTCGGGAGCTCCCGACTAGGGGATACCCTGAACCCTCTTCTTCCAGCATCAAATGCATATATATATTTTATTTTAGAAGCCAAATGTCAAGTTTGGTAACTCTAGCTCTTATTATTTACCAAAATTACCCAAAAAATAGGATATCGATATCGATTTTTATCGATTGCTTGGAAACGGAGTAAATTATCGATTATCGGAAACAAACTCGATCTGCGCGGGAACTAGGAGCATCTACATCTAAAATCCTTGCGTTCATACATACGGACGGACGGACCGACGGACGGACGGACAGACAGACGGACGGACAGACAGACGGACATGGCTAGATCGACTTGGCTATTGATGCTGATCAAGAATATATATACTTTATGGGGTCGGAGAAGCTTCCTTCTTCATGTTACATACACGTAGTATTTGTCTAAACATAGTTTATTTCAAAATGAATTTCAAATTTTTTTTGAAAACTTTTCATTCCTAGAGAAACTTGCACAACCTTGTTCAAAGTTCCATGTGGAAATATTTGGAATTTAAGCTCAGACTGAAACTAATTGAAGATTGTTTGAGTAATTATTTTTCAAAGATTTGATATGCTTATACACTGTAAAAAAAAACATAGAGGCAATTGTGAAATCTTCTGCTAAAACGAGTGAGAATTTTTTAAACGAAATATATTTCATTCTAATAGAAACTATAACAATTAATTTTATAGCTCAGTGTGAATTTGTTCAATTATACACTGACAGAAAAAGTCGAATATGGTTTGCAGCTGAAACTGGAACTAGTTAGAAACCTTTGTTTAGCTGGAACTGGAACTAGTTCCAAAACCTTTAAGAGTTTAGTTTAAAAGCTTGCAATTATTTTCATGGCTCAATGTGCAGTTCGATCAAAATTACACTGACAAAAAAAAGGTTTATTGTTTTTTCAGCTGGAACCGGAACTAGTTAAAAACCTTTTAGCGCAACCTATATATCGAATACCTAGGCAAGCGCATTAAGAGAAACTTCTACATTTACTTAACGGTTAATTTATGCATGTTTCATTTTATACACTGCACGAAAAGACTATCACAATAATAATATAATCATAACACGAGAGCAAAGGCTGGAAAAAATCAAGTTTTTCTACTCCGCGTGAGTTTATGAATAATGCAAAAGTTTAATTAGCTCAGTTTCTTTAAGTGTGTGCCCCTCTATACCCCTCCCCAGCCCCTACACTCAAAGATATTTCACTTTCGTCAGAGCAGTTAGTGTCCAATTAGTATTTTATCTGTTTTCCTCTTATCTACCTCTGTCTCATCTTCTTCTTCTACTGCTTAACAACATCATTTACACCTGTTTTCAATTATTAGCGATAAGTTTCCCTTCGGCGGAGTCTGTTTGCTTTCGCATTGGCTCATCTCTATGCACATAACGGTGTATTTACCTGGCTCCGACGATGAGCGCGACGTGGAGGCAGATGAGCTGGCCGATGATAGCATGCCCGAAATGTCCGTTTGCACGGCGACACTTATTTTGGCCATTATTGTCGCCAGCTTTGCTCTCACGCCTCGCCCTCTCCCTCTCTCTCACAGTCTCTCTCGCTTACTCCTGGGCCACCCTTGGCGGCTTCACCGTGACCCACTTAAGGTTACTTGGCCAGCTGTTTGTACGCCAGGCGGCGCCACTTGAAATCAATTTTCGAAATTAATTTGCGTTTTTAAACATTTCAATTGAATGTTTACTTTCAGCGCGGCGCTTTTTTATTGTTGTTTCGTTGTTTTTTTTAGAGATTTATTTACACGCTGTGCGCTGACCTCGAAAAGTTGGGAAACTCGACGGTAAACAATAAGAAAACCCAACGCCAGCAGCCGCTGCACTCTTATAACGGCACTCTTATACACTCTTATACGGGCAGGCAAAAACACGCGACTTTTATGAATGGCCGGCAAGGCAAAGTTTGTTGAGGTTTGTTGAGATTCGTTTTGTTGTTGCTATCACAGTTAAATTATTTAGTTTGATGGAAAGGAGATTCCTGTGTAAAAATAGTTAAGCGAGTTCTTAAAGCGCGCGGAAGCACAGTGAAAAACAGTTAGAAGCAACGACGACGGAAACAGAACCGCTTGAAACGCACGCTGAAAATGAACTGAGACGGCGACGGCGACGTTTCAATGGTTTTTGGCGCAGCAGCTTTCAGGTAGAGAGCGCACAATGAGAGCGAGAGAGAAGAGCGGGCGCCAGAGCGCGCAGCGGCAGCCAAATGTTAACTTTTGAACTTGGTTTTACACGTGTGTGTGTGTGCCCGTATGCTGACTCAGTATATGTATGTATGTGTGGACGTGCGTGTGTATGTGCCGTCAAAAACAACAACAAGAGCAGCGCAGGCGTCAATTTGTAGCAGCGAGACGACGTCATTTTCAAAAGCAGATGATATGCGATGATAGCAGCAACAACAATAGCTAATGACGGCGACAAGCGCGCACACACACGCACACGCACGCACAAACACGCAAGCTAAAGCCACAGTTTTACAGCTACAGCTTAGAGCGCCGCACTAAGCGCGCCATCTAGCGCCCTTTTTCTGTTACTTATTGCCTTCAACGCGTAGCTGTCCTTATAATTCTTTCTGTTTACAGTTTACGAACTGCTTGGCATTTTTTCAGCAAATGATTCAGTAAATTTTAAATATTTCCGCTTTGTTAAAAAAAAAAACTGACGTCAGCTGCAAGAGGAAAATTTGCTGGTGATCAAAGCAGCGCATAAATTTAAATAAATTATCACATGCGAAACACATATTTTGTGCCAGCTACAGTTTGTGAGGCATGCGCAAAGCTAAGACACATTTAGCAAAGGCACAGTGGCCGCACAACTGTATGGCATTGTGTTTGGTTAAAAATAAATTCGTTTTTGGACGTGAAAAATTAATTTGAGCCAAATTAAATGAAATGCCCAATTCATTCCGAGTACAAGTGTGTGGCCCATAAACCGTGCGTCAGTTAAAAAATTAAATTAGTAGAATTGAGAAAGTATTAGTCCAAAAACTAAACAAAAATAAAAAGAGAGAAAGAAATCTAAAAACTAAAAATTAATTTTGGTTAAACATTTGACAAAAACACAAGCATAATTAACAAAATTACGTGTAGCTAAACGAAAACAAAAACACCAATTATAAAATATTTTATAGATAATAATACGACTATACTAAAACAGTTTTAAATGCATTGGTGTTCTTTTTTTTTCTTCATATAAAAACGGTAATTTTTATTTGCCAAAAAAACGGAAAAAATAAATGCGCAAAATAAATAATATTTTCTTTTTTTTTTTCTTTCACTTTAAAATAGTATTAAAACAAATGCAAAATTAAATTCGATGCAAAATGCGTTTTGTCAAATGCAAAAACAAAATTTTTCCAAATCATAATAGTTATACAAAAATAATACAAAATAGTATATGTAAAATAAAAATAAAAAAAAACGAGAGAAAAAAAAAATAATACAAAATTAATTCGCTTGGCAAATTTTACAAGGCACACGGTTTGACAGCCACTGTTCACTGTTGCACTGTCTCAGAGCAAACCCCGAACGCCGGCAAAGAGACGCTCCAGCCGCCCCATGGGCCGATTGACCAGCGCATAGAGCGACCGCAGCGTCCCGGCCAGGAATCTATAGAGCGTAAAGTGCTCCAGCATATTGCTCAGATCCATTACAAACTCAATCAGTCGGGCCACAAAACGCGTTATGGGCGCACACTTGCACTCGGCGATGGGCGTGGCAATTACAGCAGCAGCAGCAGAAGGGTCAGCGTCAGCAGTTAGGTTTCCAGTTGCAGTTGGGATTAGATGACAGCCTGCTGGCAAGGACTCACCTTTTGTCTGACCGGCGCAGTGTGTCGATAGCACCGTGCCAGGCGGACCCCTCAGCACGGCCTCCAGGCAGCGTATATTGTCACGGCAAGTGTTGATTATCTCGTTCTGAAAAACAAAATTGTAAGTCAAATTAGCTTAATATAAGTCAAAAGTTGAAGAATCCTCAAAACTGCATTTGTACTGCTCCAAAATAACCTTAAGGCTAGGCTCTAATAGAATTGCTTTTATATATTTTCGGACTAATCATAAAGGGAAGCACAACGGTAAAGTAAATAGCAAACAAATTGCTTAAAGCTCCATTAAAGCTTAGCACTGATAAACTTCCCTTGCCTAAATATTCCTTGATGTTTTATAGAAAAAGCTCAAACAGAAGTTTAAACAGACATTTATGTATCAAAGCTAGCATCTCTTGATATTTAGCATAAAGCCCACTTAAAGCTTAGCTGAAAGCTCAATTAAAGCTCTGTCTAAAGCTCGCCTAAGGCTTCGCTGATCTTAGCTATCTCTATAGTCTTTACTTGGAATACTTAAAAATTAGTTTCTCTATAGAAACTTATATGGAAAAAGCTTAGTTAGAGAGAAGAGCTTTTCTCTGGTAAGACTTTTTAAGCAAATGATTAAAATCCTATTAGACAAATATATCATAAAGCTCCAGTTGGAACAAACATAAATAAATGTTTTTCTATCAAAAGTATTCTATATAGATTTCTGGATGGAATCTCTAATCTTCGAGAATACATTCTTTTCCATCTTTAATAATAAAAAAGTAAGATTCCCAGCCAGAATGGAATTTTCTAGTCTATTTTGCGCTCTTTCTTTCACATCTTCTAGCCCACATAAATGAATTTCTCTTTGGGAACTTACATAATCCTCGGGTCGCAGCAGATGACAGCGTATCTTGAGGGCGCGCGTATCCTCGAGTCTGTCGCGGCTCTGTTGCAACAGGGAGCGCATCTCCTGTTCCCCATCCTCGGAATCATCGCCACTCGACGAGGACGTCGCCGGTATCAGCTTGATGCACTTCTCCAGATTGCGCGACGAGCGTCTGCGCTCATCGGCGGTCACGGTGCGGCGACGTCGGGTCGAGGTGTCGCTCTCCGAGGTGCGACGCAACAGCGACTGGGCCGAGTGGCTCATGCCGGCGCCGAATTCCAGTTTGCGGCCCACAGATTCATTACGGGCGGCTGCAGGCAGCTGCTGGCTGGCCAACGCATGCTTGGGCGTCATCAGGGCCGTGGCCGAGGAGGACAGGTTCGCGGTGGTCGCCTGCTGCTGTTGCTGCTGTTCCGTCTGGCAGCTGATGGCCTCCGCCATGTCTGCAAGGATGGGGGAATGTAAGGATTAGCTTGCTGGGATGCGCTCTTAGAGATTTGTGCGCTTACCTTGACACGACTTGCGTCGCACTTCGAGCGTCCTGCGGCGTCGCTCGTACTGCAGCTCGAGGGCGCGCTGGCGACGGGCGTGGTCCACGCTGCTGCTGATCGTCTCCTGGGTGATGTGTAGGACCTTCTGCTCGTGCTGCTGCAGCGAGTCCATGCGCGGCGGCGAAAACGAATCCAAATTGTTGGCCGCCGACAGCGAACTGCAGCAATCCGACTGCGAGTCAATGAAATTGCTGCAAACCACAAAAAAAAAAAATAATGAATAAGTATAAATTATATTTGATGGGCAAACTATAAATAGTTGACGTCCAAGATTTCTTGGCACGCCTCCGTGTCTCGGGTACTCACCGATAGTCATCGCCGAATTCCAAGAGACGACGCGCCGCATCCGAATCAAAGCCCTCCGAATAGTTCTCCGAATTGTATTTCTCTTGATAGTTGTCCCAGGCTGTCTCCGAGATGCTGCTGTGATGCTCCTCAGTGCTCAGCTCTATGGCAGAAATTCAGAAATTAAGATCAGTTAGCAATGATTTAGTCGGGGGGTATTTTTTAGGGGGGGTATTTTGTGGGGTGCATTTCGTGGTACCTTTTTGCCTGGGTACGGGCGTGCGTGCTTGTGAGAGAAAGATTTATACAATAGATAGACAATAGATAGAAAGAGTGTTAAATAGATCTGTGTTTGTGCCTCTTGTGGCATATAAAGATATTGAAACGATTTGAGAAAGGGCTACCAGAAAACTTAATTGCATTAACTAGGAATGGGTTTATTAATTTCTACCTTCAATTAGTTAAATGCATTTCACTCACTAGTTTTTAAATATTTTGAATGTATAAATCTCTAAAATAAAATAAAAGCGACAATCCCAAGAAACGGACTCAATTTTCACCTATCTTCCGACTGCGAAAACAGTTTTGTCTACGTGGTTGAAAATTAGAGCTTTGAGTTTTTATAGCGTGATATAAGAAGATATATACGTAAGATATTAATTTTACAATGTTCTTTGAAAGTGAGTTTGAAGCTAAACGAAAGCTAAACAAAAGAGTTCACATAACTTTTTTTCGCCTATTTTCCACAATTGCGGGTGGAATTGCGAAAACGCTTAAATACGTGATTATTTATTAAAGATAAACAAACTTGCAGACGATCTTTAGAAGCCCATTTTCCACATAGTGCTAGATTTTCCAAATAGTTTGCAACATGTCTCAATATATCATATATATCATAGATCCTGATATTTGAAAAGTTAGAGCGTAGAGAGATCGTTGGATTTTACCAAGAGTATAAAACAATTCTTGAACGAATTTTAACAAAGACCTTTGAAAATGTGAGACACGTCGCGAATAAACTTTCACACAGATCCTTTAAAAAGGGTATTGAAGCCATTTGGAAGGTAAGCAACTATTTTTCCAAAATGTCAACTTCCTAGTTCAATCAACATCATCATCATCAGTCAGTCTATAGATAGATGACTGTTAATTCAATTGTGTTTCCTTTGACAAAGTTCTTTTTAAGAATTTAACTAGAATACCTCAATGATTAATGGAAACGTATGTATATGAAAAACAAAAATAAGATAAGGGGCGAGTGAGCAAGATGACATCACGATCGAATGTATATATATTTATATATCATTTATGGCAAGTGGGGAAGTGAGCACTCACATCGTTTCAATAACATTATAGCGCACTCTATTGAAGATAACCAGCCGAGTTTTGACCACCTGCCTAGGGGCCCCCTTCGTGCCGCGCTGCACTCACCTGCTTGCTGCTCGTCCTCGTGCATGTAGTTGGAGAGGGCGGCGAGGGCGCCCAAACGGATTTCGCTGGCCATCAAAGCGGCTGTGGTGAAGGAGCCCACACGGAACTTGGGCACCATTAGCTGGGACTCGGCATCGGCCTCGGTGTTCGTGGGCTCGTCCGTCTTGGGACTGCCCTTTTGTATGCTCAGCAGTGCATTGGTGAACTCTTGCAGCTGCTGCGAGGACATCGACTCGCAGGATTTCATGAGCGTCTGCGTGAGATCGCCATGCGCCTCCGAGCCTGAGTCGGACTTCTTGCCGCCGGAGGCGGCAGACATGCGCTTCTTGCGGGCACGCCGGCGCCGCAGCGAACCCTTGCTGTCTGCTTTGCGTGCCGCATTGCTGCCCGTGCCCGAGGAGGAGGCGGCACGTGCCCGTGGGCCCGGCGACAGCGAGTCCAAAGCACTCTCGCTGATCGAATGGCTGGCCAGGCCCGGCGGCGAGCTCTGGCCGACGGCGGCAATCGTTGTGGTCAGCTGAGCGGCATCGGTGGTCAGCTGCGACAGGCAGGAGACGGACCAGGGACGCTCCGACTTGCGACGCGTCTGCGGACGCTTGACGATCTTCACGTTCAGGCTTTGATTGCTGCTGCCATAGCCCAGGGGCGTGGCAGGCTGGCCAATTGGCTCGGCGGAGCCGCCAATGCGTTCCGTCGAGTTGCCATACGAATTGGTGCTCGTCTGCAGGCACGTCGCAATCGAGTCGGTGAAGCCCTCCGAGGAGTCCGAGTTGCCGCCACAAACGAGACCCGTTTGCGGCATGGAATCCGTTTCGCTGGCCTCGCCGGATGCCTCGCAGTCATCCGGCTTGCTGGGCGCCTCAAGGGCGTGGCTGCGCGTCAACAGCTGCGGCGTCGACGGCTGATGCTCCAGCCATTCCTGCAAAGAGTTTGGAATAAAGATTAGTTCGTGTGTATGGTTTGTGGACTGATTGTGGCATACCTCGACACGCTGCTTGATGGGACCGGGCATGGTCAGTTCGCGCTTCTTGACCGTCGAGGAGATTTTGATGATGGAATGTTTCTGCTTCGTTGGCGTCTTCAACGCTGCCTCCTGAGCGTCGCGCACCAAATGCTCTGCTTCGAGCACAAGCTGCTTGATTGAATCATGCGAGACCTTGCACTGCAAAGAGAGAGGGAGTAGAGCGAGAGAGAGAGAGAGTTAGTTAATGAGCATGGCGAATTGTAGTTGTCGCTTGGGTCATTCTGCTCAAGTGACGCAGCCGAAGAACAATTTAGTGTAAATTGAGGGCGTATGAAGAAGTGCAGCAACAGCGAGTGAGAGGGAGGAAGGGAGAAACTTAACCAGCTCATGGGCAGAGAGAGGAAGAGCGTAGAAGAAGCTTGACTAGAGCAGGGCCAGGCTGTATGCAGCGAGTGAGAGAGAGAAACACAACTGGAACAGGGGCAAGTTAGAGGGAAATAGAGAAAGAGAAAGAGTGGGAAGGGAGAGAGAAACTGGACTTATCAGTAAGTTCTGCGAATTGAAGCAGCGGGCTTCTCGCTTATCGCTCTCGTTTGTTTAGCTCAATTTCTATTCATTCGCTTTGTTCATTTGTGCAGCTGCATTTTATTCATTATTATTCACGCGCATTCATAAAGTTTTAGCAAAACATTCACATGATTTGCTTTTTAGCTTATCTTTATTTCTATTTGCATTTTCTTTTTTTTTCTATTTTTCTCTTTTCTTATCTTTTTGTGTTCTGTCTTAACGCGTCAATCAAGTGGATCGAGCGGAGTTTGCTTCTTTTTTTTTTGTTGTGTTATTCAAGGCCTTGCCAAATTGGTGTTTACCCAAATGTGATGTCATTTTGCATACCCTGTAATTGGGTTCTAGAGAAAGTTGTATGTTGAGCTAGGAATTTAGGCAAATGATAGACTCTGAATTGTTCTTCAAGCCAATATATGCATTTTGTTGTGCGGGAATGCAAGGGTTTAGTTAAATAATCGATAGTTGCAAATTTATCGGTAGTAAAAAATCGAATAAGAAATTGGCGGCTTTCATTTGAAGTAAAAGGATAAATTCTAACGACAAATTCCTTTTATAATAAAATATTTTTTTCCATTGCTTTTGTTAATGTAAGAAAAATAAAGAAACTTTCGAATTATCGATATATTTAAAGTAATTTCTATTTCTACAATAGGCCTATTAGAAGTATACTTTATATGAGCAAATCGATTGGTTATGGGTAGATATTTAACCTATTTTTTAGGTATATGCCAGATTCTTCTCTGGAGTATTCTCTACTCGAAAACGACATATCGAAAAGCTACCCATAGCACAGCTTATAGGATAGTCGACAGTCAAAAGCACAGCCATTTGATTTATATTCTATTTACTCAGTTGCATTTTAATATCAGAATCAATAAAAAAGGGTTGAGAAAAATAAATGCTGAATGAGCGACAACAGCTGTTGCTTTGCTGCTGCTATTTGTCCATAAACAAAAGCAAACTTTTCTTAACAAATCCAAACGTAAATTTGACGAAATCAATTTGATTGTTCAACCAATTAGAACCTTGTAAGACTGACAAACAAACAGAAAGACAAAAAGTCAGCGAAGCGTTCATAATGTTTCGATTGTTTTCGTGTTTTTTCACTTCTTCTAAATATTACAAAACTGTTGCCTCTCGCAAACGTTAACCTTTTGACAAAAAGGCATTAAAACTAAATGGTTAATTGCAAATTGTGTTGCACAATTGAACAATTCCAAGGTAGATTTGGCTTTCGAGTGTCATAAACTGAGTCAGACGATGCCGTCAGCTGGCGTACAGTGTCTGCCAAATGCAACTTTACGTAGATACACGTAACATGTATATCTGAAGTTATTTTTTATCGCACTTTGTTTTTTGCAGAAAGTTTAGCTGTGGCTGTGTTCAACACATGCTTCAATTTTATTGCTAATCTTTGGCTTAATTTAATTAACAGTTTCCTGTGGACAGCTACGGCGACAGGCCGGCCACGCAGCCAGTTTGAGCTGCACTGTGAGTGTCAAACTGCATGCAGCACAACAAACCAAACAAACAAGCACACACACAAACGGAAACAATTTTCCCAAATGTGCAAATGTTCAACGTTTTACGGAGTTGCTGCAGTTGCTGCTGTCCAACTCGAGGCGGGCATAAAAAACAAACCAACAACAATTGAAAGGCCTTTGCGATTGGGCGTTTGTGATAATTAAAGGCAATTATATGAGTTTGGCTTTTTGCTTAGCCATTGGCCAATTAACTTAAACTGGAAACTTTAACCACTCGACTAGCGCTGGGAAATGGGCAAATCTCGTGCGTGAGACTGTCACGATAGTTATGCGATAGTTGTTGGTGCTCAAGATATTTGGCAAGTTGTAAGCCACAAGTTCAGTTTGACTTAAGACTAAGGCTTATAGATGTCTTTTTTGCGATATGTTAACGATATTTATACGATAGTTCTAGATGTATATTGAATAAATTGATCAAGGAAATGGTTTAGACAGTCCGTGAAAAACTAAAGTCGGTCAAAGAGAAACATTAAGAAAGAATTCAACTCCATAAGAATTAAAATTACCAGTTTTCTTGTAGGCGAGGTTGCCACGATAGTTATGCGATAGTTTTATGGCGCCTAACATAGTTATATAATATATATTTAGTTTGTCACGATAGTTAAGCGATATATATGCTCGTATACTCTACAACGGTCACGTAGCCACTTTTGATAAGGAACTTTATAAATTTAGCTCATAAATATTTATAAATGCCGGAATAAAAGTTCAACTCTAAACAGTTTTATCTTTTCTCATTTCTTATGCGATAGCTGAACGATAGTTAATCGTTTTTATCTTGTTGGCGCTGAACAACTTTTGAGCAACAAATTCTTATAATAACACAAGCAAATATTCATGGACTTACTGGAGTTCATGTTTCTGCAGTTTTCTTTTGTTGCCAGCTGCTCACGCGCCCATCTCTAGTGCGGCCAGAGACTATACAGTGGCTGACAAACTGTTGAAATGTCTATGGACAGCTTTTTTTTTTTGGGGCCTTGACAATCGTCGTGGCTCTTTTTTTTTTTTGTCTTTTGCCAATTTAATTGCACTGCGGCACGCACGCAAATCGCGAAATTTAATCGCGAATGAGTGTGCGCAGTTTGACAGGCACTGTGCGCGCTTAATTACACACTATTTTGTTTGTTTTTTTTTTTGTTTCAGCAAAATGCAAATTACGCGAAAAGCGAACAATAACAACAAGCTAAAACTAACAATAATAATAACAATAACAATGGCAAATGCTGCTTTCTATTGTTTATCTATCTTTTGTTACAGTGTATCTGTATCTTTTGTATCTGTATCTGTAGCTGTAGCTGCAGCTACTACAACCGGCGGCGGCAACTGCGCGAAACGTACTGAAAGTTCGCTTTTGCGAATTCAAATACAATCGAAGATTTTGATAATGGCACCACGGCTGTGCACTGTGCCGATAAGATAAACGCCGTCAAATGTATCGAAAAGTTTCAGTTTGGCCCGTCATCGAGCTATCGAGATTGTCATCGATTTGCCTACTGCGCCTATTCGACGTACTCGTTGATTTGTTGTAATATCTATTATATATATTTACTTTGCTTTCTGTTAATTTTTGTTAACAAGTCAATTGAGAGCTCGTTTTATTTCAGCGATATGCGAGTGCGTTGCGATAAGATAAGATTTGGCATATTATATGAGTTTTTAGTTCGATTTGATTTTCAAATGGTCGCAGCGAACGTCATCGATGTTTGGTTATCAGCTCAGCTGGTTATCTCGCTGGCATCGCGCCATCAATTGATATGCAAACACACAGATTTGCATTGCGAAATGCATAAATTAACAAAAATAAAACTAAAATCGAGTAAAAAATGGCGAAATGCGAAATTTGTCAATATTAATCAAAGCGACGCGAATTTCACTCTCAATAAATCAGCGCACGCAATGCAGTCTTTGGGCCGGAGACTCTCTGGAGCTGGTACTGCCCTCGGGTGGATGACAGTGAAAACTGCGTGCGACAGACTTGAGTTTGGATTGGGTTGAGGGGGGTTCAACTTGTGCTGCAATCGACTTGTCAGCGACAGATGCAAATGACGCACACACAAGAGCAACAGCCAACAGCCGAGAGCATACATAAGCAACATGTTGCTGGTATTGCCGATGTCTGGCCAAATAAAAGTGAGAGTTGGATAACAAAAACCAGACATTGCTCATGTCCAGCCAGTTAATAATTGCTTCAATAACAGCCAAAAGGGTAGTCGTCAGTGCTTAACCAGACAAAGCTCACATGCAATTTTGAGAATCACAAAGAGAGGCGAACATTAATGCATGAGGATATGGCATTCATGTGAGCGTCAGCGATTCATACATGTCAATTATAAGCGAAATATACTTTTAGAATTCTATTTACTTTCAAAATGAAATTGGATCTATTTCTAGAATGATAGATGATAAGATACCAGATACCAAGATATCTAGCACTAAAATATGTGAAAATCGCAGAGAAAGGCGTAATTAGCTGTTTTAGCTTGTTGAAAGCTGTTTTGGGCGTATCTTAAACATTTCTAATGATTTGTTAAAAACAATTCAGAAAAAGTTTTCATTATCAAGAGATTTTTAAAATTGTTGCCAATTTCCAGACCAAGTTATTTGCCAATTGTGGCCGCTCACATGCTTTTATTTACAAACACTTGGCCTGTTGATTTCCACCCGCTGATTTTCACAAATAACTTCAGCGAATTTGTCTCAAATTACAAAGATGCTCGTTTACAGCCCATTACACGCGGCAACTTGTCATTGGACATGTTTGGGGGACATGTTTACCAGCCAAATGACACGAAAAAGCCACAAAAAGAGCTTAGAGAAATTTAAGGCGAATTCACACACACGCACACACACACTCAGATACACACACTGAGATACACGCATTATCGGACCACCGGCAAAGTCGTTCAATTGAATCGATGGATCGATCGATACTCGCAACTCGTGTGCATTTCAAGCGAAACTGAAACCATGAGAGCCCAGCCAAACAACAAAGAGGAGCCGGCCTGTTATACATACATACATATAGCCGAGGCCCCAGCTCTGGGCAGGCTCAGCTTTGCTCTGAGCTCTTGGTCATGGACACGGTTGTGCGAACGTGCGACACGCAATGCGTCCACGTCGTTGGCTGCCATACAAGATGACAAATTGCAAAGTACCGTGAATTTTCGTATTGCATTGATGAAAGGGAAAATGCAGCAGTTGTAGGGGCAGTGTACACTGAGAGAAATTATCGACTGTGCATATGAAGATGCAGATATAAATGGAAGAGGTCGTGTCTTGGAAGCTCGAGCTATAATATTTATAATTTTAATTGCTTAATTTGAATTTTATCTGCTTTGATTTTAAGACCAAAAGTAGGTAGGCTAAATTTTTCTCAGTGTTTTGATCTTTTATAAATCCAAATAACTTTTGTCAGCGTGGCAACGAAGTGCGACTAAGAGAAAGCAGACTAGAAGACATTGCTCAAGCTGTCACTGGACAAAGATGAAGCGCAGGAAATGTTTCCGCTTCCTTTGCGTAAAGAGGGAGAGAGAGAGATAGAAAGATCGATAGAGAGGGAGAGGGGAAGAGACTTACCTTTGCTGGCGACATAGTCGCATTGCTGCTGCTCGCCTGCGATTTGGTCGACTTGGCGGACTTGGCCGGCGAGCGGGGTGGCAAACGATTGCCACCATTCTGTTGGCCATTCGGAATTGGATTTCCATTGCTGCAGTTGCTCATCTCAGTGGGCCAAACGCTGATGTTGCAGATGTCGGCGCGGCTATAGAAACTGCTGCTGCTGCTGTTGTTGTTGTGGCACATAGACTGCAGCTGGGGGTAAGCAAGAAAATGGCAAACGAAACTAGCTTTAATTAAAAATGCCAAGAGAAGCGTTTACTTAAAAGCGAATGCCTTCTGTCTCATAATCAATCAGCCATTTCCTGCTGCAGCATTTTCGTGGATGCATGGCTCTATTACAATGTGGCTGCCACCAATACCCATAAATCTAGCCCGGTCGAACGTGTCCTCGCTAACTCTGTCGTTGTCGTCCCTTTCAATTGTACAAACTGTTTGCCAACAATTGTATACCCTGTACCCACTGTTTAAAGGGGTATATGCCAGCTGTGCACTTGTATATAACAGGCAATCAATTATATAAAAGTAAGATGATTTTTAAATTTAAATACTGGTCTATCCCGTTTATTGATAATTCAATATATTTCCATGTTATCGATAAATATCGATTTTGAAAAAAGCTTGCTAAAACATAACTCAAAGACTTTTAAGACTAGATACATCAAATTGGGCACCAAATATTACGTCTAATAAACACGAAAGAAGGGAAATTTTACTTGTTGCATACTTTTTCTGACTCCTCTCAAAATATAAATAATCGCGTAAGGCTGTTTTTGAAGAAATATGAAATTTGAGTTTAAAAGTTTTCACAAATCGTTGCGAGGTAGCTTATAGTCGATCAGTTTGCGACTAGAGCACACATAGTCGCCTTTTTTTGTGTGCCGCAATGAAGAAATAAATCACACGTTTTTAGTTAATTTCGTACTTTCCCATTTTTGACGTGCGCTGCTCAGTTTTTCCTGGACTATCGCCAGCTCCGTCGACCTGTCTGTCAGTCAGTCAGTCAGGCAGGCAGGCAGCTAGGCATTCGGGCAGTTAGAGGAGGCAGCAGCCCAGCAGCAGTCGGGAGTCGATAGTTTTGGCATCAATTTTGAATGGCAGCTGGTGCTGGTGCTGCTGCTGCCGGGACGGGAGTCGGTCGCAGTTGGTGCATGATTCGCTTTCATTAACCCAACTGCTTAATCATCAGGTGCACGGGAAAACCAAAGCAGTCAGGCAGTCAGGCAGGCAGTAGGCAAAAAGAGGCGGTAGCCATTTATTGAAAAGGTGCCCCTCTCGCAGCTAGGCTCACCTTTTCGGCTGCTTGGTATTGGGCTAATGGCAAACAAAGTTGCAACAAAGTCCAACAAAGCAACTTTATTGACACAAGTCAGAGTCTTTGCCAGACAGAGTCAGCGATCGAATCGAAATCGAATGCGGTGACGGAGACGGAGACTTGGACTCAAGAGTCCAAGACTTGCAAAACTTGAGACTTGATGGCTCAAGACTCAAGACTCAAGGTACCCCGTGCGGCGAACTGTGGGAACCTGTGTGGCATACTGCAAGCTGTCTGCAGCAACAGACTTTGTAGCATGTCTTGTGATTTGTATTTGCGAATTTTTGCGATTTGAGGTCTATAAATGGTAGGGCTCAAAACACTCAAAGAGTTCTCAGCGCATGTTCGGACTTGTTGCTTATTAGCTGATATGTATATCTGGCAGACTATTAAGAAATAATGGAAATAAAAATGGAAATCAGCAACGGATGAGAGATTAAGCTCAAATATTCTCTTGTTATGGTAATGATCACATCATGCAACATTTGACATTCAGTTAGGTTTCTGGTCTTCCTCAGCTGAGCAGCTGTAAGAGTTATTGACGAGTTTTTCGCATGAAAGGGAAACTATCGATAATCCAAAAATATGAATTGAAAGTCATCGATAGTTCATAGATATTTAGTGGAATGTATCTATATATGTTAATGCATTCACACTACACTGCCAAAGCTAACCTTTCCATGGATATCTCTTGCTACATCTTTCTTAGCAACCTTTAAATCAATCTTAAAGCCTCTGGTTATCTTAGAAATTCACCCAAAATGGACTCAGTTGAGTTTAAAGGTTTAAATGTAGATAACATAATCTGCAATGACACTTGACTCGCACTCACCTGTGCTGCATTTCCATTTGCATTATCAGCAACAGTTGCCTCATCAGCGTTCTCCAGATTGGCGCCCATTTTCAGCAGTTGCTGTTGCTGTTTAGAGTCCAAGCGCGACTGTTGTTGTTGCTTGTGATTATTGTTATTGTTGTTGGCATTAAGCTGTTGTTGTTGCTGCTGTTGCTGCTGCTGCTGCTGCTGAGTGCTGCTGTTGTTGTTGTCGCTGTCGCTGTGCAGTTGTTTGTAGCAATTGTTGCTAATGATGTGTCTTGTGTTGGTGCTGCTGCTGCCATCGCTGGCGCTGCCATTGCAGATTTGCAACTGAATGTCCATGTCGACAACGCTGCGCTGCATTTGGGTAACCCGCGACGTGGCCGAGGTCTCCGTATGGACACCGTTCGAATTGGACGAGGAGCAGGCGCTGCTGCTGTCGTAGTTGCTGCTGTTGCCAGTGCTGCCAGTTGCAATTGCAACAACAGCAGTTGCAGCAGTTGTGGTCACCAGCGTCTCCTTGTTCTCCTTATCAGAGTCGTCGCTGGGCCCAACGCTGACTCCTGCAACGGCGCCAGAGGTTGTCGACGAGATGGCAGCCGACTGCAGACCATCGACTGTGGATGTTTCTGCTGCTGCTGTTGCAGTTGTTGTTGTTGTTGCTGCTGCTGCTGTTGCTGTTGCTGCTGTGTAGAGCCAACCTTCGTCGTCGTCATCCGATGAGGCATCAGCCGATTTCAGTATCTAGAGTTTGTCGGAAGGGTAAAGGAAAAAAAAACGTTAGTATGGAAAATGAAAATCAAGCAAAAGCTGTGTGGGCCCACGTCACAGTCACAGTCGCAGGCTGTGCCTGTGCTGGCAATGCCAATGCCCAGCCAGATGAAGATGAAGTAGTAGAAAATGAAGTTTAATTAGCGTTACTTGCGCAAAATGGCAAATTGTAACTTGTAGACACAACAGCAACACACACACACAGCAACAACAATTGTAGCTACAAATTGCTGCTGCTGCGGCTGCGACTGCGCATGAGTGGCAAAAATCTTTTGAGTTCGTCTGAAATGCCGGCTGCCAACGCGGCTGCCTCTGCTGGCCTAACCTGGCCTGGCCTGGCCATGGCCTGACTGGCTGGAGGAGTTGCCGCCGTGCCGCCCTCAACCAAATGGTTGTCAGTTGCTGCTGCTGCTGTCGCTGCAGTTGCTGCTGCTGCTGTTGTTTTCACTGTTTGCAATTTATATTAATGTTGCGACGTTGCATTCGGATTGTCTTGGCGACCTTAGGCTTTGCATGCAGCCAAGGCACACTCATCACTTGGGTGTTGGAGGAGCCAAGAGCATCAGCAACAGCAACAACATCAGCAGCAACAGCAACATCAGTAGGAGCAGCAGCAGCAGCAGGTTGAGCAGCTTTAAACAGCCAGCTTGTCATTAAAATATGTAAATTGTGCTTAAAATATTCCTTTTACTCAATAAGTAAACATTTCAAGCGCAAACGAATCTAATTTGAGGTGCAAACGTAAATGTCAGATATTCAGATATTTGAAATAACTTCCAATAAAAAATATATAAACTCAACAGTACTCAGAATATGTAAGAGTGTACTTGCCGGGAGTGCCCGACTTGGAAATACCCTAAACCTAGAGCTTAGTATATATGGTATAGTATATGCTTTCCGAGATCGTAAAGAATAAATTCGGTGTATATATGTATATATATAGCTTTTATAATTTGCGAGTTGTTTGAGAATATTTAAATCACAAGTCTGTAGTTTTTTTGAGCTTCTGAGTTCGATGCGTTCTGCTACAGACAGATAGACAGTCATGACTAGATAGACTTAGCTCTCTCTGGTCAAAAATTTATTTACTTTAAGAGGTCGAAGATAATATCATCTGCCCGTTACAAGCCTCTACACAATTCAATATACCCTACTATACAAATTTTCAATACGTTCGAGCTTTAATTAATACTGGCTACTATATCCTCCGGCTAAGACATCACAGACATCTATACTCTGCAGGCTAAGCTTCTTACTCGGTGCCTTATTTTCCAATTGCCTCAAGCATTAGGTCATTTGGACAAAAATCAATTTATCAATTGTTAACTTTTTTCGGATCTGAGCTTATTTTGATCTGGACTGCTATTGAGAATTCATCGGATATTAGAAAAGCACTCGTACTTTCGCTGTGTACTGGTGAGCTGAAGTTCACGGAACAACTTTTGACCAGGAAATCGATTCATTAACATAAACGGAACTACTTAGTTATATTTGGCTGTTTTAGGCGGAGAGCTGAAGAACGGTTGACCTCTGGACATGGATGGAGCCCCGGGCGCAGGTTGTCTGCTTTTGAACTCTCGCACGAAAGTCGTTTAATGATTAATGATGTGCATTATGACTACCAGATAATGAGCCGCAAAGTTAATTAAGAAATTGTTAGGCATGCCAAAGATTATACGAAATATAAATACATATATGGTTAGTCAAGTATGTTTTTTGTTTAGTGGAAAATGCAAATAACTTAACAGATGCAATAAGACATGCAAATTGAAGTGCATTTGGCATGGGTTTAAGCAACGCGCAGGGTTGCTAATCGCGCGCAATCGAGCGTGCGGCGATTGTCGATAGGTTACCGATAACCGCGACGAATTCGGCATAGACGAGCAGAGACCCAACGCACCAACAATTATAGAGAACCGGTCACCACCTGGCTGATAACGGTACTTACTTCGCTGGACTGACGAGCATCCCCCTCGCCGGCAGCATCGGTGCCAGCGGTGCCGCTCGTCTCATTGTCTGTATCCAAATGCTTGAAGTAGAAGATGGCGCAGTTCTTGGACTTGCGATTGGAACGATTGAACTTGGAGGTGTCATTGTGATGGCCGCGATGTGTTGCCGCCTTTCTCAGCACCGTTGGCGACTTGTTCAGCTCATGTCCGTGTCCGTGACCGTGACCGTGTCCATGGCCATGTCCATGGCCATTATGATGGCTATGATTATGGGTATTGGGTGTGATTACGGCGACGGCAATGCTCTTCGGCTTGACGCCATTGTGGCACTGTGGTGGCAACATTTTGACGTTGCCGTGTCGCGTCTGCAACAGCGACAAATTAGCCAAATTGGGCGTGGAGCTGCTGCTGTTGTTGTTGCTGCTGCTGGCCTGCGACATGTCTAGCACATGACTCACTGTCAGTTGATGGTGGTGCAGCTGTGTGCTGTGCGTAATGATGGGCAGCACCACACGTCGCTGATTGATGAGTAGGCTGCTGCCACCGCCACCACCAGCGCCGCCTCGTCGCAATTGCTGCACCTGCTCCAGATCGCTGCTCTCGGAGTCGGCCTCGAAGTCGGTGAGCGTGGCTGCTGCGGCGGGTGAGTTGCTGTGACTGTGACTGAGATGATTTGTGATTTTGGATGGACGCCAGGCGCGTTTGGCAATCACAAAATCAACAACGTCTGCCTCGTCGTCGTCCTCCTCCTCTGGCTCCTCGTCGGCCTCGTCACCAGGCTGCGAGTTGCGGCGGTGGAACAAAGTTTGGTTAGGCAAATTGCAGTTGCAGGCAGTTAAGGGGTCAAAGGTTCACGCAAACACACGCACACATAAATCAAAACAACAACGAATTTACATGCTGCTGCAGTGCTGCCAACTCAGGCGGATTCTTTTTTGGATTTATATCGAATTTGTAGCTTCTTTGGCCAGTTGCAAGAAACTTGAGTGCGTTTGTTTAATGTTGTAATTAGGATATAGAGTGGGTGGTAGAGAGTTGACAGTAGCATAGTCAAAGGCCTCGAATAGTGCTGCCAATTTTTGGTAAATCTTAGAATTGCCAGTGCTGTAAAAGCCATTAATTCCGTGCTGCATTCAGTGGAATATTTGTTATCACAGCAGTTGGGAATAAGCTTCTTTGGCCTAAATATTCTCAAGTTTTTGAGAACTTTTGAGATCCTAAAGTCGTCTTGCCATGACTACTTTTGGCTGTATCAAGAAAGTACTCAATTTTTTTTTTTTTGCTAATAAAATGAAGGCTACTCTTGTCCGTAGCAAGAAGTTGTCGAGTCATTCAATTCAATTAGGAATTGAAACTAAATATAGTTGCTCAAAAAGTTGCCAGTGCTGTAAAAGGCGTTCATTGCTGTGCTGCCAACTCGTGCCAAAATACTACGATTCACCTCACAAACGGACCATTATTAGCTAGTTGGTAGTTCTCAAGTTTCTTGCTTAAATTTCGACTGGGAAATTGGGTTGTGGGGTTTTTTTAGGAGTTGACAAAACTGTTTTGGGCATGCAATACAGTGCTGCCAACTCGGGTATCTTGGGGGTCATATCGAAAAGGTGGCTTCATTAGCAAGTTCAAGTTCTTGGCTGGTTTTGTTCAATTTTGAAGGAATAACAGGTCGAGGGTTAGGTTATTAGGCTCAAAGAAAAAGTTGACAATACTGTAGAAGGCATGCAGAATTCTAACTAGCAATAGCAATAACAACAACAGCTACATACAAGAACAACAACAAACAATACAAAGAGAACGCGCGCACAAATTTGGCATATATGCAAATGTATTGCATTTACTTTACCTTTTGGGTTGCGATACAATCGCGTGACTGATCCTCGGCCTGAACGTTGGCGGCAACAATCTCTGTGGCAGTTAGCTGACAACGTTGCAACAGCTCCGTCGAGTTGTGACTCGGCGCACAACCACTCTCGCACTCCAAGTCCAAATCGGAGGCAACCTCGTTCAGATCGTCCTCGGTGGCAGCGTCGCCGTCGCCGTCGCCGTCGCCTTCGCCCTCGTAACCAAATGAATCGTCTTCAGTATCGTCGTCGTCATCCAAGCCGTTCTATAAGATGAGAAAGTAGAAGAAAAGTTTATGAATATGAGCAACGAGTGAGAGAAGAGCAGAGAGTGGGAGTAGCAGTTAAATTATAATTATGTAAACCTCATTTTATAATTTGTAATACTCTTAAAATCAACTAAATCCATTTACAGGGTATGCTCAAGTGGCAGCAGCTCGCATGTCTAATTGCCAGTAGTTTATTACTGTGGCAATATGAATTTCAGCTTTTAATTGGCCAACTTGATTTGGATCTGAGGAAAGCATAAATATTGCTCAACCGTTGGTCAGTCGCATTTTCACAATTTTCACACATTTCCAACACAATTTCCCATCACGTAACGAGCCCCGAGAGTTTCCTTCTTCACATATGTTATAATTGCTTTCAATTGCGCCCGGGCCAAGAGCCAGACAAACAGACATGAAATAAAAAGAAAACACGACAAACGGACAAACAGTTAGCTGCCCAGACAGATGACAGATAATCCACAAAAAAAAAAAGCTGGGTGGAGGAAAATCAAGGCGCATGTGGGTGGCAGTGTGGGTGGGGTACTCATCTCATGCGGGGGCAGACCTTGACGCCCCTTGAAACATGAAACATGAAAAGCACAAGTGCTCAACATTTGGGAAAGCAAGCGCATAGCTGGCAGCTTAACCTCAGTTGACCTTGGCGCGCCCTATTACATTAAGCTTTGCAGCTCATAAAAAATTTGTTAAAACTAATTATTAACTCAGCCAATTGAACATTTATTAATTTTCTTTAACACCCGCCACATGTTCAACAAGTTTATTTCTTTGGCCTTTTGTGGATTTGCGTAATCTTGCGTGTAGTCTCTGCCTGGGCCATAGGAATTTCGTGTTAACGAGGCCTTCTGAAGGTCAGGCAACAATATAAAATGCTTTTCTTCTAAGAGTCGGCTATATTTGGAACTCGTGCCGCATCTAAACAAGAAAGAGCAGCAGAGTATAGAGAGTGGCAGAGTATAGTTGCCGAAGATGAAATACTCTTCTGAACTTGCCCACACCCATAATTCGCTCAAAACTCAACCCATTTTAATAAGGTTTGGCTTTTTAATCATGGTTTGTGCTCTAGATCAAATTGGCATCTAAATCTGACATCAACTCAATCGATTTTCACAAGGTTTGGCTTTTTGTTCATGCTGATACTGATCCAGAATAGATATACCCCATTGTGTCCTAGATTTCTTATTCTCTATGTAATAAACTATCATCATATCCATTGAGAAAATATTTACAGGGACATGATTTATAGAGTATTGGCAGCTCTCAGACATTTTCGAGGCGCCCCTTTTGATTAGTTTGTTTACAGTTTTTCCTCCGCAGAGGTTTTCCTTTGAAACACACACAGCAGGTGTAATTGGGCCAGACAAACAAAGTCGGCCCATCGGAAAATTCGAAATGGTTTTCAGATGGACATCAATTAAATGATAAACAAATATAAGAAATCAATTTGTAAACTGTTGCAGCTCGGGCAGCTGCCCAATTGGATAAACACTTTCTATAAATTAGCATAACACCCGCATTTTTTGTAAGCTGCAGATCTTGACTAGATGGGGCGAAGTTAGCTCTTCTTCCAATAAAAATCAATGACAAGCTAAAGATAACAGTTAAACCTCTTATTCTTTGAGTTCAGTTCAACTTCTCTCTGTTGCTTCTCTCTGACTTGGACGCGTTTGTTGCGCTGCTGCCCACAGTTTCTTGGTGCTACAATTTATGGACTTATTATGTAAAATGCATTTGCCAGGCCGAAGGCACGGATAAAATCAAAAGGTGGCAACGCCTGTTTGTTGTTGTTGCTGGCGGTTGTTTCCTTTGTTGCCTCCGTCTGCCTTTAGTTTTTTTTTCTGTTTTTAGTTGGAAATTAAGTTCAAGTTTATCGCAACGCACTTCACGCGAAACGACGCATAGGTGTATGGAGCGGGGCGTGGCACTGCAGTTGGACACGTGACGTTGTGTTGTCGTGTTGCCAACTTAACACCTCATTTGCAGGCAACTTTGGAGCTGAGCTTTGGTCTCTTGCTAAACTCCATCATTAGGGGTTCGCGATAAGCATCTGCCACGTACAGTGTAGCCTAAACAACAACTACACGCAATCTCTCGCTCTGTCACAATTCTCATGTTCATTTCTCATTTCTGTTCTTGTAACTTCCAAAGAACTTTAGTTAGCTGCACGAAAAACAGCTCGAAATGTTTTGTGTACTCCAAAATCCGATTACTCGATAAGTCTTTGAGGTTACTGTGAAATGCGTGTGGCTGGGAAAATGTACCAGAGTGTTTTTCCATGTTGTTTGCTTTGGCTACCGTTTTTTCTCTATGCACATATGTACATATTTTATGGCCCCTTTGTTGTCGAAATTATGAATTTCTCACACGCCAACATTTAATTATCACTAAACGCTTTTATGTCATCGATGTGATGGATACCTCTATTAACATATAAGTCTCCTCGGGGGCGTGTAATTGTCGTGCAATAAAATAAGACAAAAAAAAACGTGAGCTGCAACTGGAAATTGTTTCTAGTATAAAGTGCATGGCGTGTTTAAGAGGCAAATATAGGAAAATTGTAGCTGACGCAGCTCAAAAGGCATTTTATAAAAAACTAACTATGGAATTAATACACTCTGGAGCGTGGGCATGCATTTAAAGAACAATTTAGATATATGGATATCTAAAGTAATTTCATATTTCCTGATATAATATCATAAGCAGAACTAGTTTCTAGTTTCGAATATATATTTAGATATATTCAGAGAGACAGATAATACCTGTTCAAACCCCTGTATAAAGGATATAAGGTTATTTTAAGAAGCTTTTCATCTATCCCAAATATTTATATTATAGCATAATGAACAATTGAGTTGATATAGATCCTAAACCTAGGAATTTTATATAAGCCTACCTATTTTTGCACAGTGTACAGACAGATTTTAAATAGATTTCCTATGCAATATGCATTTTTCAAGGTTTTTAAGAGGTTTCATTGCAGCTGGCGAATGAGATTATGTGACATTTATAAATAAATGTTAGCTGTGTCCAGCTTACAATCAGATATTTTGCCACCACATAAATCTTTTATATCCGTACAGATCTGACCGAACGCTTCAGCAATTAAGTAATTACCGAGATTTGCAATGGAATTTAAATTTATTTCAAAGTGTCAATTGCAACAACGCCATGCAAATGTCTGCAAAGCGCGACAAAATTGCAGACATGAGCAGCAGCAGCCGTGACAACAGCAACAGCAGCAACAACAGCAATTGCCATGACAACAGCAAAAGCGTTGACAACCCGCAGCAACATGAAAACTTCCAAGTCATATGAAAGCAAAAGCAGCAAAAGCAACAACAATAAAAACTGGCAACATGCAAAGCTTTTTGCCCCACAACCTCGCTGCAAAGTATGCGGTGACAACAGCAGCACCCGCTGCAGCAACAATATTATTACTAGCAGCTGTTGTTGCTATTGTTGTTGTTGCTGCTGCACAAAACATTTCCTGGTGCAGCAGCAACAGCAACAGCAAAACCAGCGACAGCAGCAACTGCAATGCCCACAATTTAGCGCAACTATTACAAATCGCATTAGACGCTAGATTTAGCAAAATCTTAGTCAGAGCTGCGTTGGTCGCCGCAGCAGCAACAACAGCAGCAGCAGCAACTGCAACTGCAACAGCAGCAACATTGTTAGAATTACGACAATATTTTAGCACAGAGTGCTGAGTAGATCTGTGGCAAGTTCTTGTCTAGCCTTTGTCATGTTGACAGCGCCCTTATTGGCAACATGTTGCTGCAACACGCAAGTGTGCGTGGGCGTGCTACACACACACATGTTGCTGGCCCACGCACAGCGGCAATTGCTCATAATTTTGCAGGTTGTTGCTGTGTTGGGCTGGCAACAACATTTGAATTTAAGGTGTTGCTATGATTAATGGCAAATACAGAATATTTGTATGTGGCAGCCTGTGACAATTGCGGCCCATAAAATAGATAACAAGCGAGACAGACAGGCAGAGAGACAGTCGAACAATGCAAACAAAGGCCGCTATTTGACATTTGGCAAATGTCAATATGCCATAAATGCAGCACGGGAAATATCATTGCAGGAAATTGCAACAAAAAGCGAAGTGAGATGAATTAGCTGCGGGTTGCGAAATGATTAAATACCCTAGCTTATGTTTTTGCACTTTTTAGCTATAAATTGAATGCTTTACGAATTAGTAATACGATATTGATGAGTTTTTGGCAAAAAGTGAAGATCGGCGACTGATTCGAGTAAAGTTGACTTGAAATAGCTTTAAATCTTCTCAGAATTGGCTGCTCTTCTCAGAGTTGGCTTCTGACTGACATATCTATAACGACATGTCTGTTGATTCTGCTCAATATAATATGATTTGAATATATAATATTTATGCGTATAGACTCTCTGAGACGACCTTCAGGTTAATTTGTGTGGTTTCAAGAGAAGTATCGGCTTAATCGAGGGGGAACTGGATAAAGTGTTGCACACCTTGCCAAAAGTCTATAATACCCTCCGCCTAGTGTATAACGAGGCGCGCTCCAATCGAAGATGTCTCTGTCTGCGCCATTGTTTTTTTGTGGCCTGTTGCATTACACGCTGATTTATGTGTGTGTGTGTGTGTGTGTGGGTTATTCTGCGCCACATGACGCGTTGACAACATCAAACACTGCAGCAACATGTTGCTGGTTGCAGTTGTTGTTGTTGCTGCTGCTGTGTTCCCATTGCTATGTGGCGGCATTTTGTTGTTTACATTTGGCTTCATTTCTCTCCTCAGCTGCTTTGTGCATTGTAATTTCCCATTGATTACATTGTGGCCACATCTCGTTTGACTTGTGCTCGTCTTTCTTCCGTCCAGTTGTTGTTCGATTATAGGAATTGGAAGTCGTCTGTTTAACAGCTGCTGCCACAATGAAGCAATTTGGCCATGTTGCTGCTGTCGCTGCTTTTACTTGTTTTGTTATTATTCTGAG